AATGTTCACTAATTGTTTTATCGACTGATCAATGCATAGTTTTAGCTGTAAATCCATTTTAATGCAATGTTTGGGTTGAAAGAGGATTACAGTTTGGTATTTCTGAGGTTTGCTGCGAATCAATAAAGTGTAGTGAGGCACCAGAGGACATTAGAAGAGAAAAGAAAGGAAGTGGAACATTTTTTTTTTATATTTTGCAATTTCATAAAGCAGGTGCAGCGACACATCTGCAGTCAACAGGAAGGGAACTGGTTCGATCTCGTAAATACGGTTCCTGTCTGTCTTGTGGCAGGAAAACAAAACTACAGGTTTCCCAAGGTGGCAGCTGAGCCGTGTTTTCCCCGTGTCAGCGTTACTTCTCAGGCTGGGTTTTTTTTAAGGCTGATCCTGAGGAGACATTGCTGCTGGATGAGGCGGAAAAAAAACAAGCGGATCGCGCCCACCGCCGGGGCCTGGTCCTGCGAGGGGGAGTCTCGGTGAGGTTGAGGGAGGGGGACCGCAGCTAAACCGGCCCAACAACTCACCCCCAGCCCCGTTACACCCATTAAGAGCTACCGGGAGCGTGCTAGCTTTGTTTTGGGGGGCGTTGAGGTGATCGGAACCAGCGAAGGGCAGCGCTCCACATCAGCGCCAGACATGTGTATCAATCAGCTCAGCTACAGCTGCTAGCCTAGCTTACTTAGCGAATCCATTCATATCGCACATCAGACGTCATTTGTAGATTCACGCCGCAGACGGGCAGCCCGGTGTGGGTGTAGCTTCAGTACAAACACGACAACCAAGCTACTGGATCCAGTGAAACCCCCCAGCGAGCAGAAGGGAGTGAACGGAAGTGGCAAACAAAACACTTGCGGACTACCGATGCTAGCTCGATACCTAGCTAGATAAGAGCTAATTGTGCTAGCCGCGCTAACGTCAGGCTGGAGAGCAGAAACACAACGTCCATGATCGAGATTCACTTCTCTTTATAAAACAAACACACGGGTCGCGAGCCTGTAAACACACAGTCCGGGGAAACTGTACCTTTATAATCCTACGAGGCAAACCGGCCATCTTGTGTTAGCTATTGTATTTTTAGCCGTGGACTCTCCTTCTCTTCAGGTCGGACTGACTGAGCTGCCGGGGCGGGGACAGATCACTCGGTCTTCCGGTGGCTGCTCACAGAGAGAGGATGCTGTGTCTGTGTTTAAAATACGAACATGTACAATAATATACATGTACTTCTTGTAATCAAGTATAAATACTACTAAGTAATGAACTATAAATCTAATTGATGAATGTAAATTGTGTGATTAGCTCCACAGGCTCGACCGTTTCCCCAACAGTATAAACACAATTTAAAACGTCCTTGTAAATATTTAATTCAAATTTAATCATGACACCAACCAAAACATGAAATTCATTTTGTACATTTATTTATTTATTTCTCTTCAATGTGTGCATTTTATTCTCCATTCCTTTATTTAGATAAATATATATGTTGTATTGTGTTTATGTGATGTCTTTGATTTTGTATTATATCATTTGCTGTGTTTGGTTTTATGACTTATTGATGTTTTTAATTTTTTGTCCAGTTACAACTAAGTAACAGCTGTTTTGAATAGTGATATATAAATTAAGTTGTTAATATTATTAATAAGATAATTCAACTCATTATAACTTCAATTTATATTAAGGTATATTAAGATAAATAGTAAATGAATGCATATATTGATAAACACATTTGAATTTCTATTTCTATAGTAAAGTTTGTTTGTAAAAATGTGATTTGAAACCTAACGTCTGGATCATTGGAGCTTGGGGAGGATAAAACCTGTTTTTCCCAACATTTCATTCTCCAGCTAAACAGGCATCTAATCTCACAATAATACATCTTTTCTATCTATTTAAGATCAATGTTAAGATTCAAATAGTGATGAATCACGTCCCAAATCTGTTGAGGCCTCAAATTAACCCAGGCCATGGACTAAATGTTTTAGCTGTGGTTTTAAAAAGTATTGTGTATTCTCCACTGGCTAATTTGGCAGGTGAATATCAACCTTTAGCACATGGATGGAAATATTTTGTTTTATTTCTCTTTTCAATCTATCTATACCTGTCTGCACCACAGTGTTTTTCCTGCAGATGCTGTGAAGTATCTTGGTTTTCGTTGTGTTGCAGAACTGCAGCAGCACTGTTGGTTTCCTCCAGTCCGACATCAGTTTATCGCTCAAGAGTAAATCAACAAGTAGGATGCATTTACTTTAAATGCACTATTAATTATTAATGGTGCATTCAATTCAAGTCCACAGCTGGTGTTTAATAGTTTAACTGCTCTGCCCTTCCTGGTGCAGGTTTTATTTCAGCTGCAGGGACAGTAAAGATAAAAAACAAATAGCCTCAAATCAAATTTAAAGCTCAGTAAACTCCAGAGATTTAAGAATAAATTATTGAAAAGTAATGGGGTCAGAGCAGATTGGTTATTATATAATATTACATTATGGTATACTGGTCCCTATCTGTAAGATTTATAATTAAAAATATCAGGAGAGAATATAGAAGACTCTAAAATCTAGTGCAGCAAACAAGTGATCAAACCTAACTAAATAGAATAAAGTATAATCTTAAACCCACCGACAGTAATTGTTTCATTTACAGCAGCACTGACTCACAGACACGTGACAACCAAGTCAACAGTTTATTATACATCAACATGACGACAACTCAAACATTTCAACTATCTTCAACTATCTGTCCTTTGGAGGATTCTTCTTTATGCGTCTCATGTGGTACCTGCACACAAGGAAACAGATGGAAATTAATTTTGACCCACGTCCACAGAGGAAATTCTCTGCCAGCAACCACACTCTGAGTCATAAATATGATAAAAGGACAAAGGTTATTGCACAGGTAAAATATGGAGCTGGTAACTGCACAAGTCAATAAGTAGAAATGAGGATGAGTGACTCACTCCTTCTCCTTCTTAAGTTTATTGGTCTTGTATCAGTTAAAACAGCATCTAAAGCCATGTAGGCTCATTTATTCCTCATTCTTTTACTTTGTTTTGCTGATTTGATCCCATTGATACAACATTTTGAGTGTCTCAGTTCCTAATTAAGGGAGATATGGTCTGACTAAGTTTGAACTTTTTGGGGAGACTGTGACTTGGTCTCATCTCCTTTAACATACAGTCGGTCACTTTTCCAGCTCCACACTGGTCGATAGAGAAAAATAGAAAAAACAGCATCAACAGCATTATTTTAAAATTGGACGAATTTACTTTCTGTTAAAGAGCAACTCAAGCTTCCTGCTGTAAATGCAGATACAGAAAATCATATGGAAAAAGGTCCAGCAGAATCCCTGTGCTAAAAATGAGCCTCACAACAACAGCTGTGTCACAGCGCTTTGTCAATTCTGTGAGTTATTTGTGTACTTACTGTCCTACTGGATACCACCGGTGTTTAGTGGTGAAAAACATCTTGCTCAGCTCCTCGATAGTCGGCCCCTTCTTGTCCTTCAACACCTCCTTGCTGAGATGAGCCTTCAGGACCTGGTCGTGGGTCTCAACCGCGTTGGTTACAGGGTCTGGTCGTTCTACGGGCTGCAAAGATTTAGCATCGTTAGCATGGTTTCCTCTTTCATATCTCAAATCTATGTTCATGTCCAACAATCGTGGAACATTTTCTATCAATTTCATTGTGCTGCCTATTTACATTGATATATTTATGCATCTGTGACAGCAGCGTGCAGGCAGTGTTTCAGATCTGTATTGCTGTTGTGGTGTATTTTTATATGTAACTTTATAGAAGTGAGTCACTGTTTTGTGGAAGCTCAGGTGTGAGTAGCTGACGTCATTGTGGTCTCACTAATCCACCTTGTGGCCAACACAGGCATCCTGCTGGTCATTTAACTATTATGATTGGTAGGTTTATTTCCCTAATTTTAGAGACGTCACAAAAACACATCCATAAATGTAATCTTGAAATTCAGACATAGATGTTTGCCTGTACACTCGGTACTTTGAATTTGTAGAAAAGAGGAACCACTGTCAGATAATCTCTAGCTTTTAGTAGTTTAAGTAGAGAGTGAGGAATCTAACAAAAACTTCTCGGTCATCAAATACAGATTCATCAGTTATCAGACGGAACATTGACATAATCATATTTCTCATATTAGATAGAAAACCCTCCTTACTAGTGTAAATTCATAAGGAATGTCGACGGTGGGGTGGAAGCACACAATGGTTTTCCCATCTGAAGTCACGCCGATGTCCACGTTACTAAATCCAAGAGATTGGAGAGTTATTTCTCAGTTTACAGTTATACCCTTATAAATTTAATTTCTTTAAAGAAAACACATGATTCATGATAGGATGGATTATAAAACTGCAGTGATGCTGCAGTACATGTAAGTAAAAAACTTCATTACAGTAACTAACTAACTAACTAGCCTCGAAAGAGCTCTGAAAATGGACATTTAACATTTACTTATTAAATTGTCTGGGTAATGTTTTTTACTTCAATAATCTTCAATAATTCTGCATTTATATTGGTGACAGCTAGTACATTTAATTATCAGATTTAAAATTCACAGTGCAGCTCGTTACAATGCTTTTTCAAATGATGCCTGAAAACTTAAAAATGCTTAAATAATGACTTCCTTTCTGTCTGTTACGCAGGTTAACAAGTGTTAATTAATGTTCTCATTCATTTAAATTGTCACATAAAGGTTTCTATGTGAATTAGTGCTACAACTAAACTTGTATTTAAAATTCCAAGAGTTCAAATACCAGTTTGAGCCTTGAGCTGAAGGATCACTGTCACTGGACTTGTGTCGAACTGGCACCAAACATCCTGCAACACACATTTAACAAAGATCAGATCAAAGGAGGAAAATAGACACAATCCAACAGAAATGTTTAAAGCACAATTCATGTTATTCTTATGTTATTCAAGATAAAGCACTGAAATGTTAAGTCGAGAGGTTCTGACGCCTGCTAACAAGGTACCAACGTGCCAGACTGTTCACAAACTATCTAATACTACTGACTATGCTGCATTATTTCATTTATAAAATATACTGAACGTGTTTTTAAACGAGTGTAACCTACTGATGATCATCTCAAGGTTAGCTCCTGTTAGCTTGTGCTGCCTTCACGGTCACAAACATGAAACTCACAAAGCAGCAGGACCTGTGACAGACTGAACTTGTTAAATCCACATTAGTGAAACTCACTCTGTACATGTCGCTGTGTTGTTCCTGAAGAAAGCCGCGTTAAGAGACCGTGTAGTTTATACACATGAGCCGCCATGATCAGATCATTATGTCCGTCACTGGAGTGGGTCCGTGTTTGCGCGAAGACTCAACCACAATAGTTCCACTTTGCCGGAGACCATCACAGAGAATGAGACAATAATTCTACCTCTTTGAAATAACGAATTTACTGCTTTACACTATTTTAAACATATAATACACTAAACTAAGAATGTACAATTTTACTGATAATATACTGTACCAGTAGAGTACTATTATAATGATAATATAATGGGATCCTGATGCAGTACATGTATTCTAAAGGCAAATATAAGGGAAGAGCTTGGTAGGGTGATTTTCATATGTAAAATATATCTGTACATATCATATATGTTACAAGTTATGTTCATGTTATAATAATAGTTATAAATATAAGATGTTATAATCTTTAGAAATGAAGTCTCCAAAAATCAACCACAAACTGAAACAGATATGCAGAGGCTGCAAAAAGACATCGGGATTATGTTCCTGTTACTCCACAGGGAGGTGGATAATATCTGGAGAAGACTTTACAGACAGTGCAGGAGTAACATAAGGTTTATACATTAAAAACTGTATTTATTGATGATGTAGTACTTTGAACAGTCCATGTTTGTGCACAGATCTTTGTACATTAGCTTCTATTATTTCGTTTGAATATTTATTATGGTGAACATATGTGTGGGATAATAGAAGTTATAAACCAGTTTCTTGTATACTTTGTGAAAACTTAGAACATTAAATCTGTACAAGTCAAAGCAAACTATCGGGGATATTAAATGAACAATTCAAATATCTGAATCCTTCTGCTGGAAATATTCATCCGTATGAATATAAGACATTCTTTAATTGAACATATTTCAAAGTCTTTTGAAAGTTTTGGCCCCAGTTTCACTCTA